CGGCTGGGCAGCAGCGGCTACTCACTCAGGCCAGGAATTTCTCCCTCGGTCTCCTCGCTGCGGAGAGGGTCCATCTTGGCCACGCGCTCTCACGGTCCCGCGGAAAGAAAAGCTCGGCAGGCGGATGGCTTGATCGCTAGACAACAAAGGCAGAGGGCGTCAGGCTCACCCCCCCCAAGGCAACTGCCTCCCGGGCGCTCGCGGTTCTTTTGTAAGTCTGAAGCGGCGCGTCCAGCAGCCCAGCCCCAACTGCCTCTCTCCCTTCTTCTCCTTTCACAAGCGGGCGGGTTCTGGGCAGGGTTATAAATAGCCGATTACACCGTTGTCGGATTGTAACGTCATCTTAAATAACCCCGCCCCTCTCCTCCACTAGCGCCAATCAGAGGCCGGCTCGCACGGCTGCGCAGTACAGCCGCGAGGCCAAAGGCAGCCCCTGGTGTAAGCGACAGCGGCTACTGAAGACGTCAGAGCCAGCCGCGAGGGAGGGGGGAGTTCAGCCGCTGGGTGGCGCGCGCGCTGGCGCCATGGCGGGAGGGGTGTAAAGAGTCACTGACCTACGCAGCAGGGACAGGGGAGGTGGCGAGAAAAGCAGTTGGGGGGAGGGGGCGCAGCGAGGCTGCGCGAGCGCCGCGTGGGAGGGGGGGACGGCAGCAGGAGCCGCCCCGCCTCAGGCAGCTGGCGGAGGAATAACGGCCGCCCTCAAAGACGCCCCCCCCCCTCCGGCGCGTCACGAGCCGCGCGCCCCGCACAATGCTGCCAGGCGGTCTCCCAGGGCGGGGGGAGGGGCGCTTCAGCCGCTCGGCTCGTTTTCCCCCGGAGAAAGCGGGCGCCTGAAGGAGGCCGCTGCCGAGCGACCCAGCGGCGAGGCCGCCCCGCCCCGCGCCCCCCCTGTTGCGCCGGCCGGGAGGCCCACGCGTGACCCGTGCCAGCAAACCTGGCCGCGCTGTTGCGTCCGGCAGAGGCGAGCGGTCACCACCCCCGAGGCCGGGCCGCCGAGCGAGAGGGCGAAGCGATGGCTGCGATCGTTCCGGGGAAAGCGGCTGGGTCAGGTGCTCCTGGCTCCGCCTCCCAGGGGCTTGTGCTAAGGGCCTGAGCGACCGGCGGGGGGGGGGGGGGGGGGGGGGGCCGGGGATTCACCCACTGTGTCCCCAGGGAGAACTGACGACTTCTCTTCTTTCTCCACAGCCGCAACAGCTGCGCGTGAATTGCCGCACTGTTGTCTCGCCCTCGCAAACGGGAGAAGGGGGCTGCCCGACTGCCAATGGGCGGGGTCCGAGGGGGGCTCCGTGACTGCAAATGAAGGAGGAAGGCAGCTCACAATGGACTGTAATGAGATGCCGCTCTGGCTGGGGGAGTACGCTTTTATTGTGCATTTATTTTAGCAGAAAAATCGGGACCCTGAGCTGTTTCGCACTGTTGTCTCGCCCTCGCAAACGGGAGAAGGGGGCTGCCCGACTGCCAATGGGCGGGGTCCGAGGGGGGCTCCGTGACTGCAAATGAAGGAGGAAGGCAGCTCACAATGGACTGTAATGAGATGCCGCTCTGGCTGGGGGAGTACGCTTTTATTGTGCATTTATTTTAGCAGAAAAATCGGGACCCTGAGCTGTTTTGCATTTATTTTAACATGGCAGCCACAGGCTACCACCAGAATCGGGACCCTGAGCTGTCAGGCATTGGGCACACAGAAACATAGATGTGGTCTCTCTCCTGCAGAGAGGGGTGGTTTATTTGGTCGCCGAGTCTGTGTTGCTAAAGGAGAAGGTTACACATATCTTATTAGAATCAGGGGAGACGACTGTGATCAAATTGGGGACCAACTGCTTGTCATTTAAAAGCAGCACGGCCGCTGCAATTGATCAGACTACACACCCTCAGAGACGCACACACCCTCTGCATCCTGTTTGGGGGGGTCTCTGCAGCATTAGAGGGGGATTTAGGGGTGGAGCTGTCTTATCTGCTATTACAGTCTCTGGCCATTCTGCCAGTGCAACAGTCAGACAAAGCAACACAAAGACCAATGGATCCCTGTAACCTCAGAGTAATTTAGAGGAAGAAGACTAATTCCAGTTCCAAAATGCAGGACAATGTAGCACTTTAAAGACTAACAAGATGGTTTATTAGATGATGAGCTTTCGTGGGCCAGACCCACTTCCTCAGATCTGAGGAAGTGGGTCTGGCCCACGAAAGCTCATCATCTAATAAACCATCTTGTTAGTCTTTAAAGTGCTACATTGTCCTGCATTTTGCTTCAGCTACCCCAGACTAACATGGCTACATTTCTATCACATATCTAAGGCCCTTCTCATTACTTTAATTCCTCACCATTTTTAATAGGTTGTGTTTATCCTCACATCCCCACTGAAAGGAGGGGAAGTATCATCCCCATTTTTATCTGAAGAATTGAGAGAGTAGGCAATTTGACCAACTCCATGTACTGAAAAAGCCCTTGGCAGAGTAAAAAATTGAAGGGTCTCTTGACTCTTAGGCTAACACCTTAATCACTGGACCATCCTTCCTCTCTAACTGCCATCAGCTTTCCAACTGTAGTATTCAGGTAATGATATTTAGTTTCCTTTAAAATGCTTTGAAATGTATATATGAAAAGTGAGAGCATAAAAGTGCTAAGTTTCATTATTTTATTACACTGTTCATTAAAAGAGATTTAAAATTCAAGAATATTCATAAGTCTCAATTTCTGCATTTGGATAATGGGTAAAGCTGTTTTTCATTTATTTAATGCCATGATTCATGAATGGTCAGATCTGGTTTTGAAGTGTAATGAACTGTACAGACTGATTTCCTGTTTTCTGTCAATCATAAAATAAATTCTAATTTGCTTAATACATACAATTAAAGCAAAAATCACTCTACAGATAAATTTGATTCAGGAATGTATTAAACTTCTGGAACCAAGGAGGCAGATCTGCATGTGTTTCAACAAATGCAAACTCCCAGGTCTTGCATCCACAGTTCTTGCTAGGATTTAAGCATCAATACTTTATTTGGCTTCTTCATCTTGTTATGCCATGTGGGGTTGTCCTTCTTTTTCTCTATCATGTGAAGTCGGGCAGTGGTTTCTGTCAGCATGTCCATCAACAGCTCAAGCTGCAGCTTCAGGTAATTGTTCTCTTCCAGGAGAGCCTTGTTCTCCTTCTTCAGGGCCTTACAGGACTGCTCCCTGTCACCAGAGGAGAATAACTGCAGCAGTGGAGGCCGATGAGAGAGGCCACTTTCACCTTGCCATTTGCCATCCTGGAAGACAAACTTGGTATCACTCAGCTGAGCCCGCGGAGGGCCGTAATCCAAACCTAGTTCAGCCTGCCGGGTTCTGAAGTCCAGGAGGTAAAAAGTGGAAATGGAGGTGATTCGGCGAAGGGGAGGCCTCTTGGGTAGAAATCTGCGTGAGAAATGATCTGCCCAATAGTCTCGCAGCTCCTGCATTATGTTAGCAATGGTATTCATACTGAAGCTGGATGAAAACAGAGGTATCAGTCAAGAGAGCTATAGCAGAAAATTGTGAAATGCAAATCCAATCTGTAGAGTTAAAGCTGAGAGGACAGTACTGAATTAGAACAGGTAACCAGAAGCTAAAACTTAGGCTCTAAAGACTGTCATTGACCAAAAATGGTAATCATAAAATGATATCTGGCAGCTTTTTTTTTGTCTCTTTACTGAGCATGAAAATAATACAGAATCCATGGGGCTTTGGTAGGTGTCCAAGCACATGATTTTCATATTGATAGATTCCAAAGTAAAAAAGGACCATTGTGACCATCTCATCTAACCTGCTATATAATACAGGTCATAGAACTGCCCCAAAATAATTCCTAAAGCATATATTTTAAAATAACATCCAACCTTGATTTAAAATTTGTGAATGATGGGGAATCTACTAGGGGGATGTGAAGATTTAATTGGATAACCAGTAAACCTTACCTGGTTAAGATTAATGAGTGGGGCTGCTTCAGCCTCTCTGGCAGCCTCTATTCACAGCAAACCAGGGCACCCTTCTGGCAGGGGCTGCTTTGATCAGGACACTGGAGGCAGGGATGCCCTGGGCTGCCATAGATGGCCCTGCCTGTGGGGGAGGGTGGGCGTTCCAGCCCAGTGAGGGTGGGGAAGGCATTCTTCCTCCCCTTTAACTGGGTAAGCAGTTAAATAATATGTTTAACCAGTTAGCCATTTAAATGGGATTTTACATCCCTAGAATCCACCACCACCCTTAGTAAATTGTTCCAGTGATTAATCTCTTTCCATTAAAAATGTGCTCCTTATTGCCTGTGGGGGAGGGTGGGCGTTCCAGCCCAGTGAGGGTGGGGAAGGCATTCTTCCTCCCCTTTAACTGGGTAAGCAGTTAAATAATATGTTTAACCAGTTAGCCATTTAAATGGGATTTTACATCCCTAGAATCCACCACCACCCTTAGTAAATTGTTCCAGTGATTAATCTCTTTCCATTAAAAATGTGCTCCTTATTTCCAGTCTGAATTTATCTAGCTTCAACTTCCAGCCATTGAATCATGTCATACCTTTCTCTGCTAGATTACAGAGCCCATTAAATATTTGTTCCCCATGCATGCATTTACAGACTTTAATCAAGTCACTCTATATCCTCTCTTTGTTAAGCTGAATAAGATTGTTCTAGAGTCTATCACTCCATGGCATGTTTTCTAATCTTGTGGCTCTTCTCTGAACCCTCCCCAATTTATCAATTTACATTTTGAGCATCAAAACTGGATGCAATATTCCAGCAGCTTACCTGTGTAAAATATATACATAAAGCCTCTCTGCACCTACTCAAAATTCCCTGGTTTATGCACCTCAGAATCATGCTAGTTCTTTTGACCACAGCCTCACACTGGGAGTTCATGGTCAGCTGATTATCTAGCATGATCCCCAAATCTTTTTCAGAGTCACTGCTTCCCAAGGGTATGCCCTCACTCTTTGTTCCTAGATGTATACGTTTACATTTAGCTGTATTAAAACACAGTGGCTATGTCTACACTTGCAGCTTCTTGCGCAAGTATGGCCATTCTTGCGCAAGAATCTGCAGAGCGGCCCCCCTGCCCGCCCACTCTTGCGCAAGTAAATTTACAGTACGGCATGGTAAGAGAGGGCTCCTTGCGCAAGAGCTGCGCTCTTTTTTTAACAGGTGTAAGCTCTCTTGTGCAGGAGCTCTTGTGCAAGAGGGCAGTGTGGATGCTCGGCAGGGATTTCTTGCGCAAGAAAGCCCTATGGCTAAAATGACCATCAGAGCTTTCTTGCGCAAGAGAGTGTCCACACTGCCATGGGCGCTCTTGCGCAAAAGCACAGCTCACACATGGCAGTGTGGACGTTTTCTTGCGCAAGACTTCTTGCACAAGAACACTTGCGCAAGATGTTCTTGCGCAAGAAGCCGCCAGTATAGACATAGCCATACTGTCTACTTGCTTCAAGTTTACCTAGCGATCCAGTTCATTCTGTATCTGTCCTCTTCCTTATTTGCTACTCCCCCAATTTCTATATCATATGCAAATTTTATCAGTGATAATTCTATGTTTACTTTGAGATCTTTGAGGAAAAAGTTAAATATTAAAAAGCATAGGGCCAAGAACCCATTTTTGTGTGACCCCACTGGAAACATATCCACTCAATAATGATTCTGCATTTACAGTTACATTTTGAGACCTTTTAATTAGTCAGTTTTTAATATACTTAATATGTGCCACATTAATTTTATATCATTTTAGTTTCTTAAACAAAATTTCATGCAGTATCACCTTCTATAAAATATTAGTTAAGTATATTTAAGTCAGCACTATATATCAACTAAATTTGTAGTCTCGTAAAAAATAGCTGAGTTTGATAAGGTCTATTTTCCATAAACCCATGTTGACCTGCATTAATTACATTACCCTTTTTAATCAAGTTCCATTATCGTCCTCAGATTCAAGATAATTCTGTCAGGTTTACAGTTTACCCATTTTAAATATTAGCATGTTATCTTTTTTCTTGTCTTCTAGAACTCTCCAAGTACTCTAAGACTTACTGAAAATCAACATTAATGGCAAACTCTTCAACCAGCTCTTTTAAAACTGTTTGCAAGTTATCTGAACCCGCTGATTTAAAAATATATAACTTTAATAGTGTCTGTTTAACTCTGTCCAGATATACTAGCAAAATGGAAATAGTGTTATCACCACCATACAATAAGACTTTTCCCCCAAATACAGAAAAGAAATATTCATTGAACACTTTTGCCTTTTCTGTATTATTATTGATAATTTTACCATTTCTTCCTAATTATGAACCAGTACCATTTTCAGGATTCTTTTAGTTTCTGAAAGATTGAAAAAACTCCTCCTTAACTCTGCTGACCACATATGGCCCCTTGCTTCCTTTTTCAGTTTTCTACAATTTCTAACTTGTGATTTATATTAATTACTATCTACTCCCTTTCTTCCATTTGTTATATATCATTTTTATAGCTGCCTTCTCTTCCTTACTGAACTAAGTCTTTTTTTTTAACCTTTATGTCCGTGTTCTTCAATTGTAAGATTGTGGTTTTTTGAGCATCTAGTAAGATGCTTTTAAATGATTTCCAGTTATCATTCATATTTTTCTGATTAACTTCTCCCCAGCTCATTTGGCTCATAATTGTTTTCAGCCTTGTGAAATTGGTCCTATTAAAGCATGAAGTGTATATATTAGTAGTCTGGACTTTATTCAGCTTGCACATTGTAACTGTGATTAAATCATGATCACTTGTGCATAAGCTATCATTCCTTTTTCTTTTTATGATCAGTTCCTCTTTAGTTTTTAAGACAATAGAATTCCCCCTTGCTGGCTTCAGAATTAATAAATGATCTATAATATGTAGAAATTTCAATAATGTTTTAGTACTGGCAGTATTAGTTATCCATATGGTAAGTATTACACAGACTGCACCTTGATGTTAGAAATCACACACCTAATAATCCCCCACTTTGGCCTCCAACATCCACAGATAGAGGGGATCTTCCATCTGTAGATCTCCCTCACCCCCATCACTGCAGAAGCAAGATCAGCATATTTGGCACTGCCTCCCTCTCTTCTGGAGCTAACAGGATCTATAGGGATCTGCAAAGCTAATAGGTGCTCTGCAGGTCTTTACTGAGGAAGGGAAAGCGGCACATGTAGGTTCCTCCTCTGTCTTTTGGTGAGTGCCTGGCCTGGAAAAGATATTACAGCATGAGGCTATACTAGCTTTTCCATGGATTTTCTTGATTTCCCAGAATCCCAGAGGCAACCTTTGTGAGGTGGAGATCCCTGGAACATGGCTGCAGTGAAGGTGCACTGCCAGGAAACAGGAGCAGAGAGGCAGTGCATCTAAGCAAATACCCCTGCCATTCCCCAGATACTTGAAGATCCAGCACATTCAGGGGAAGGCCCCATAGTGGAGGTATGAGGAGTGTAGATGGAACAATCATGTCAGAACTTGACAGGGAATCTTCACAGTTGTTTCTGCTCTCTAGGGTTTCCCATAGAACAGTGGTCTCCAACCTTTTTAAGCATGAAATAAATTTAAAAAGTGAAGTGCAATCCAAGATCTACCTCAAATATAAATACCCTTGTCCTATCTCCTTCCCTCCCCTTCTCTGAGACCCCGCCCCTGCTCACTCCGTCCTCCTTTTCTCACCCATCCTCAGTCACTTTCACCAGGCTGGGACAGAGTGTTGGGGTGCAGGCTCTGGTCTTGGATCAAGGGATCTGGAGTGTAACAGGGGCTCTGAGCTGCTCTTGGGACAAGCAGTTAGGACGTAGGAGGGGTTTTAGGTGCAGGCTCTGGGACGGCATTTGGATGCAGGGGTGCTCAGGGCTTGAGGGGCAGGAGGGGATTCATGATGGGTCAGCATTTGGGATGTGGGCACCAGCTAGGCACTGCATATCTTAGGTGCTTCCTGTTTGATGGTGCAGTGCAGTTAGGCAGGCTTACCCTGCCCTGGCCGTGGACCACTCCCTAAGGTAGCCAGCAATCTCCATCTCAAGTCCTGTTCCCCCTCCCTCCTCCGCTCTGTGGAGAAAGGGTACAGAGTGGGAGAGGGGGCACCTTAACATCAGTGCCCCTTCACCTCCTCCTCTGCCCTGCACAGAAAGCAGGGGGCTCCCCAGGGGGAGGGGCAGCTCCAAAGCAAAGGGCAGGAGATGAGCAGCAGTGGGAGGAAGGGCAGCTGAAAATCTCTTGGCCAAACCAGTCGGGATCACCTGTCAGAGACTCCAAGATCTATCAGTAGATCCCAATCTACTGGTTAGCAACCATTGCCACAGAAGAAGGATGCCTGGGGCAGGTCATAGTTATTGATAGTATCCACAGCTTTACCACTCTTATTAGAGGGTCAGATAGAGACGGCATAAAACAAGAAGGCTACGTACTGCGCTATTTTGCGCAATAAATATGCAAATGAGGTGAAGTGTGAATATCACCATGCATCATTTGCATAATTAATGAGAGGCCACATTTTGTGCAAGAAGCTTTTGCGCAAAAAGGAGCCATCTACACTGTTCCTTTTTGCACAAAAACCCCACTCTGCTTTTTTTCAGGAAGAATGGCTCTTGCGCAAAAGTCTTGCGCAAAATTAGAGCCTAATTAATTATGCAAATGAGGCATGGCAATATTCCATGCTTTGCCTCATTTGCATATTTTTTGCGCAAGAGGGGGAAGTGTAGACGTAGTCGAAGTGAAAAAAATCTGGCAGGTTATCAGCCTAGGGTTATCTTGATTTACCCAACAGCTCTAGGAAATCAAGGCTACTCTATAAGTAATGAAGTGTTGTTGTATGTAAATAATTTGATTCTCTTCTAACTCCCTCCTAAAAACCCCCTCTGCTATGATGCCTTCACATCCCTGTCATGTGGCACTGAGTAAGAAAAGGGCAAGCCCAGACTGTTATTTTTCTACTAAACCCTGTTACATTTATTACCTCATCTTCCCACCCCACCCTCACTCTGTTTTGTACATCTGTCTCACACTGTCTAGCATGAAGACTGTAAGCCAGAGGCCTGCAACCTATGACTCGCAAGCCCAAATATAGCTCAGTATGGAACCAAATATGGCCCTTTCATCATTCCTAAAATATATGCAATTTTTAAACTAAATATGAAAAATTAATTCAAAATTTAAAAAATACGTAATTACTCATGTAGTTTGAATGTGTTCATGAACCTGAATTTGACCAGTTATGATGTAAACTTCAAAGAAATGTGCGAAAAGTCCCATTAAACGAAGTTTGTGAGTACAATATTTCATTTATGCTATTATTAATCATCATGTAAATGATCAGTAATATTAAGTTGTATATTTTCAGTCATGCAGATGGGCATTCTGGCTCTTTGTTGACCACTTGTTCTGAATTTTGATGTAGTTTGGCTCTTTGGTTTGTAAAGGTTGCCGAAACCTGCTGTAAACATTCTAGGGGAGAGACTATAGCTCTGTAATCTATAGGGTGCCTGGCACAATGAGGTTCTGATCCTGGACTGGGACTCTTCAGCCTTAATGCAGTATAGATAATACATAATGGCTCTGTCTAGACTGGCAGGTTTTTCTGCAAAATCATCTGCTTTTGCGGAAAAATTTGCCAGCTGTCTACACTGGCTGCTAGAATTTCCGCAAGAACACTTGATCGTCAGTGTTCTTGAGGAAATACTGTGTTGCTCCCATTTGGGCAAAACCCCTCTTGCGCAAATCATTTGCGCAAGAGGGCCAGTGTAGACAGCACAGTACTGTTTTGCGCAAAAAAGCCCCGATGGCTAAAATGGCGATCAGGGCTTTTTTGCGCAAAACCGCGTCTAGATTGGCCACGTACGCTTTTCTGCAAAAAGTGCTTTTGCAGAAAAGCATCCTGCCAATCTAGACGCGCTTTTCCGAAAATGCTTTTAACGGAAAACTTTTCCGTTAAAAGCATTTGCGGAAAATCATGCCAGTGTAGACGTAGCTAATGTGTCAGTACTCACCCTTTTGGGGAGGAGGAGAACTGATCAGTGCTCAAAAATCTGCTCCTTAAAAGATTTAGGCTGCATCTACGTTGCATCACTCTTGTGCAAAAGCCTATGCAAATGAAGCGTGGATTAGCATATTGCCATGCTTCATTTGCATAATTAAATAGGGGCCGTTTTTGTACAACAGGCTTTTGAGCAAAAAGGAGCCGTCTGCACAGCTCCTTTTTGCACAAATGCCTCTTGAGCAAGAGCGGTCCTTCCTGAAAAAATGAGGAAGAACGGCTCTTGCACAAGAGTGGGGTTTTGCACAAAAAGGAGCTGTGTAGACAGCTCCTTTTTGCTCAAAAGCTTCTTGTGCAAAAACAGCTCCTAATTAATTATGGAAATGAAGCACGGCAATATGCTAATCCACACTTCATTTGCATAGGCTTTTGTGCAAGAGGGATGCAACGTAGACGTAGCCTAAGGGACTCATTATCTGTTGTCCCCAACCCTGTCTTTCTTACATAGTGTACCAACAGGGGCAGCCCGTGAGCCTAGGCAGACGAGGCAGTCACTAGGGCATCCCCGGCCCGCCCGGTGATGCCGTCCTGGGGTATCTGGGCACCCAATGATGCCGTCACAGCCATTGACGGCTGTGCAGGCGGGGGCGCCGATCGCTGCTGCAGCCGGCATCGGGCCGCTCCTGTGTACCAATTGACATTCAGACCCAAGTTATGAGACTCATCCCACCATATTTCAGCTATGTGTAGTAGGTTGTTCTCGCCATTGCTGGGCATCATTGTGTTGCTTGTTTCCTCTGCTCCCTGCATTTATGTATGAAAACTTACACACAGTTAAACCGCATTAACTCTCATTTAAAGCTGGTCTATACTAAAAAATGAGGTCAGCCTACCTACATTGCTCAGCAGTGTGAAAAATCCATACCCTTGTGCATCATTGTTAAGATGACCTAAGCCCCTGCGTTGAAGGTGTTTGGTCACAGAAGAATTCTTCCATCAACCTGCCACTTCTCAGAAAAGTGGATTACTTATAACAACAGGAGTGGATTACTTATCCCACCCATAGCATAAGGAGTGTCTACACTGAAGTGTTACAGTGACCCAGCTGTGCTTTTGTGCCATTTTAAATGTGGGCAGGTCCCTAATTAATCTACAAACTGGATTAATTCTCACCAAAACACTGGCAGTGTCACATTGTTCTTTTTGTCATGAGAGGATTAAAGCAGGGAGATACAGGAAGAAATCTACTGCCAGGGCTTTGGGATTTTCCTTTATGTGCAGCGGGCTTGCCCCAAAGCCCAGTGATGTCAATGAGACTCTTTTCATGGAGGTCAATGGGCTTCAGAGTAAGCTTTAGTGTACATTGTCATGATTAATAAAAGCAAAACCATATTCATAAAAGAGTGTACTGTGTGATTCAATCTTTTCTTTTTGCTAATTCACAAAACTAGATAATCACAATGGGCCTCCCATTCATTTTGTGCAAATGATGAAGGTTCAAGCATCAACTGCACCTTTGTAATCTTCTTTTTCACCTTTTCTTACAGAGTATGCATTCTTATGAATTATACTCAAAGAGACTGTCTGCTTACTGAAGTAGAATGCGAGTTCAACTGCCCCAACTGTTCCAAGCTGAAATTTGCGAACAAGCTAGGCTACTGTATTTTTGAGGCTGTTTTGCTGGGGTGACGCTCAAGTGTTGACCAGATCATCCAGTCATCTCTCAACTCAGAAACTGTTTCTATGCTTATTGAATGCACATTCCTCCTTTTTACACCATCAGCTTATCTCCAGGTTTGTCACCAGCATCAGCCTTCACTTGCGACCTAAAGCATCTGAGAACATTACCTCTGTCCACCAGATTTTTCCCAAGGTCGGTCTGTGCTTATTTGGGAGCTCATCTGTTTACTTCTTTTCTGATCTTTAGGTAAACTGAGGCCTGATGTGTACACACTTTTTGTACTGATATAATAGTTAAGGGTGGGACTTTTTTACTGATATAGTTATACTGATACCACCCTGAGTGTGGGTACAATTATACCAAAATAAAGCTGCCTAATGCAAGTCTAGATTATTCCTCTGCCTGTCAGAAAATAAAGAAATGTCTATACTGTACTTTTGTCTTTTGTTGTTCAGAGGTATGAAAAAAATACTCTCCCTCTGAACAGGCCTGGCCTTAGGGCATGGCGAGCAAGGCAGTCGTCTTGGGCCCCACGCCTTCAGAGCCCCACACTGCCCAGTGCCCAACCAGCTACTCACTCGCTGCCCGACTGCGCAGTACAGCCAACCACAGCATACTGCTTTGGACCATATAAACTCTTTGGCCAGGCCTGGCCCTGAACAACAAGGCTACGGCTACACTGTAACCTTTTTCCGGAAAAGCTTATGAAATGAAGCGCAGTGTGGAATATCGCTTCATTTGCATAACTAATTAGCAACTACTTTTGTGCCAGAGGCTTTTTGTGCAAAAAGGAGCTGTTTAGACAGTTCCTTTTTGTGCAAACCTCCCCTCTTGTGCAAGAGCCGTTCTTCCTGAAAAAAATAAAAAGCGTCTTGTGCAAAAGCAGCTGCTAATTAATTATACAAATGAAGCGCGGTGATATTCCACGCCACATTTCATTTGCTTAAGCTTTTCCGGAAAAAGGCTACAGGGTAGCTGTAGCCCGAAAGTTTTAATGACAAAAAGTGCTGGTGTAGACAGCATTTCATCAGTGGGAGCCACTCTCTGGTTGATGAAGCTACTGCTGATAAAGTTACTACTGATGAAGTCCTATTGGGGGTTGAGGGTTGGTTTTATTTTATCACCAAGAGCTGGAGAGCTCCAGTGACAAAGAGCGTCTACACTGTACCTTACAATGGCACCGCTGTAGTGGCACAGTCATGCCATTGTAGATAGAGCCTAAGATATAGTGATATAACACATTAATACTAGTTTAACTACATCCACGCTGCGGGAGGGGAGTTTTACCACTGTATACTTGCATATATTTTGTGTGTAGGCTAGGCTGGATCTTCTGTTTCTGTATGCAGGAGTGATCTCCATGCCAGTGACTCATTAGTGTTTGGCTACTCTGGCAAACTCTATATAGTGAGCTTTCAGAACAAGTCTGTAAGGTCACCAGCCAACTCAAAAAAGATCTTGGGCCCACTGACATGATTGGCAAAACTCCCACTGACTCCACAGTTGCAAAACCAGACCTAAAGTGCCTTGTTCCAATCCTAAGCACACCCAGCTCACTAACATGTCCTTTGTTTCACCCACTCACCAAAGTGCTGAATTGATTCTCACTTGAGTGAATCCTCAGGAAGGGCTAGCTCTGGAGTTCACCTGTTTGGGACTTGCTTGTTCACTGACACCCTAGCTGTTTGGTGTTTGGCCTGGCTCAACCTCATCACCCTGCTTGCAGTGACTCACAATTGCCCTGTTTCAGCTAGCCCAAGGGTGGGGAACCTCAGGTCTGGGAGCTGGATTTGGCCGCCTAGGTTCAAGTCCCCCCCAACATTAGGGAGCCTGCACTGGTGCTCCAGCCCCCTTGTTGCCCCACCGTGGGGCTGGAGCACACAAAATCTACTAGCCTGGCCCCCTAGGATCTGGTGTGCAAGGAGAATGTGGGGAGTATCTTTCTCCTCAGTTGGGGGCCACATTAATGGGAGTTTCTTTGTTTGGGGGCATGTTTGGGGGGGTTTTTTTGCTTCTCACTTGTGTGGTGTGTGGTTCCTGATTGTTTTTTCTGTGGGTAAGTGGCTCCTGACCCAAAAAAGGTTCCCCACCCCTGAACTAGCCACATTTTCGCACAGGAGGTATAGCTGAGTGGTCACTTTTATACTTTCCAATTACCAGGAAGTAGCACAGAGCTTTAAGTATTTAGGATTAAGGATATATTGAAACCAGGTAATTTGATACCTAATTAATGCCTCCAATGCAAATAACACGTCAGTGCCTTGAACATTGTACTTTTGTCAAGATAACTGAGGATCTTTCCTCATTCCCTCCTCCTTTTTCCTTTTCTATAAGGACTTCACTATAAGACCCTTCATTCTTGCTCAGTGAGTCCTGATTTGGCAATTTTGATATAATTATTACTTTTCAAAAATGTTTTAAAAACTTGAAATATAAGTACCCGCAATACGACAGTGTTGTTAATTATGTGGATGGGGACAAGACACAGTTTTTCCTAAACTTTAGTGTAATGAATGGCTAAGTTGTTTCAAGATTTTCTCTCTGGAGGAAATTCGCCCATAAGCAAACAGTTCATGCAAAGCCCCATGCTTCTGTTACACTCTTTGGTCTTGTCTTCACTAGGGAAAAGGTGTGTTTATTCTAACCCGTGTTCACTAATCATGAACATGAATCATGTAATTAACAATAAATAAAATTCTAGCAAAGGTCAGGTAGTATCAGGGACAGTAATAATAGCTTTGGAGGTCAAGATAAACCCTACACTCACATTTAATCACTACTTTGACCTGCTAACAAGTATGAAACCTACAAACTGCCTTGTCTTTAGTAGGATTTTATCACGTTAGCTAGTATGAGGTAAGAACATACCCTTGTCCTTGTGTGGATATACCTTATGTTAAAGGGAGAGCACATCTGAAAGAGATAATATAATCTGAAACACTCTAATTTTAAATCTATACAATTGATATTAGAGAATGTGTTTCATAACAGCACAGAGAATTCCAACCAAGCGTCAGAACACTGAAGCCTATGTATGACACAGAAGGAAATAAAATGTTTATTGCATAACTTCAGCGTGACTCCTTTTCTTCCTATGCTCCTTGAAGTAAATTTGATGTAATCAAATAAAAATAAAGCAAAGGTAATAAAAATGTGTGGGGGACAGTCTGTAACATTTGGGTCCAGATCCAAATGTGATCATAGTTTAATGGAGCAGAGTGTGGGAATTTTGATTTGAGCCATTAGAAAAATAAAAGACCAACTGAGAATTAGTATTGAAACTAGCATCTACATTTCCTCATAGTTTGTGGTCAAGTTTTTGGAGTTCGGTTCAGGCCCATCTCTTGTAATAACACAAAAATAAGTAGCTTTAAAAAGTTGCTCAGGGTGTATTTTTGTGATTAAAAGAAATGCACTTTTTGAAGCTATCTATTTTAATCTTGTATCTGGATTTCTTTTTCTTTCCTTTTCCCCTGATCAAGCTGTAGTTTAAAACTGCCATGTCCGGGTATTATTTAGACCGCACTGACCTACTTCTTCCAGCCCCTTGGCCCTTTTGATATGGATGCTGCTACTATGGTAACCTATGTAACATGCTGGCATCACAAAGGAAGGTCTCCATTAAATGAGCCCTATGCATCAGTTACTGCATTCAGTTTCACAGCAGGTTTCTTTCACAGACACACCCAGTTAGAAAGTAAGCAGTTCAGTTTCCAGGGGAAGCACATAGATATGCTGTTTCTACCCTACCCGGCTGTGTCTTGAGATCCAAGACGGCAAACGAACCAAGGCAAGCCCCTGCACCCTGTCCCCACTCCTCACACTCCATTCCCACTCCTTGGTAGGCACATCATGCAGAATGGGGCAAGTCCCTGGTCCCTGCTCCCCCACAGGAGTGCTGGGGTGGGGGGTAGTTTGGACTGCAGGCAAAATGGGTGAGAGGGCCCCCCCAACTCCCTGCTTCACAAAGCTACCTCTGGGTAGCAGGAGGCAGCCTCCTTATCCCTGTCCCCTGTCATTGCCTGCTCACTCAAAAGCCCGAGGTCCACCCACTTTTCCTATCCTAGCTATGCCACTGAGTTGGTGTGTAACAAAGAGATAACAGCATGTAGGGCCTTGCGCAAGCCCTCTGTACTTGGATGAATTTAATCCTCAATGCCAAAACAACCGCATTTCCTGAGTCAACGTGACTAATCATGAAATGCTTATTTACAAGAACATATTTGTCAGTCTTTCCTCTCGCACGCACCAGTAGCTCTTGTGACTTCGTAAACAGCACCACCTGGCGAGATACTGACCCTAATGCAGCCTCAGAAATGAAACAGCTGCCATTGGCCAAAGCCTTTGTCATTCAAAGCAGACACACAAATAAATGCCTTTTGAGCCCACCCCTTCACTCTCAAACAAAGCAACAGAAATAGCTTAAGTAGATTTCTACTGAAATTGAACATGTCCTTTGTGAAGGTATCTGTGAGGTAGCTTCTGATTGTCAGAAGTCATAGAGGTGACAGAGAGCTCCCACTAAGGCTGTTAAGAAGCAGGTAATTGGATAATCGTGTAGTCGATACAATTTGATACAATTTGTATCGACTACACGATTAGTCGATAAGGGAAGGCGCTCAGAAGGAGCCACCCCTGTGTGACGGGGAAAGGGTTCCCCACACTCGCAGCCGTGGCCCGACGCAGGTGCGTGGCGGGGAGGACGCCAAGCGCCCTGGGGAAGCCGGCCATCCGGAGCACTCAGTGCGTGTGCTGACGAGCGCCCCGGGGAAGCCGGGGAGGGGCGACTGGCCGGGGGCAGGGCCGCGATTGCAAGCCCACCGCCCGGGGCGGGCATTCGGATCCAGGGAGGTCCAGACGGCACGCACGCCGCGCGGGGGCGGGTCCGCAACCCGCCCGTTCAAGAGGGCAGCGGCAAGGGCAGAATGGGGGAGAGCCGGGAGGGAACAGGGCTGGCTGTGGTCTCTCCTCCTTTGCAGGCAGCCCAGGGGGAGCGGCGGCCGGGGGGCTCCCAGGGGCGTGGCAGATTGCTCGGGACCCGAACGGGAGCTGGAGGACGAACCCTGCCCCTGCAGGACGCAGAGAGATGCCATCATGACCAGGGACGCGAGTGGGCAGAGCCCAACCCAGGACATTGAGGCCGCAACAGCCCGTGGGGACAACCCGGTAACAAGACACTTGCAAGGACCGTCAGCCGGCGGCCCGGGAGCCCTCAGCCGGGTTAAAAGGACGGGAGAGGCAAGGGGTGGCAGTTAAGCACCTCGCCACACTCTGCAGTGGCTCTTCAGTTTAAATGTAATAAGAGCCAAGCACGATGGAGCAGCTTCTGTTTGGGGCAGCCAGAGCTGGCTGCAAACAGAGGCAGCTCTGATAGCAGCCCCTGTCCGTGCAGGGGTCCCAACTCCCTGCAGGGACTCCCTACAGACAGGGACTGCTGCTGGAGCAGTCTTCCCAGGCCCCCCATACTGCTGCCTCTGGTAGAGGCAGCAGCTGTGGGGGGGGGGGGGGGGGGGGGGGACCAGACCACATCCAACATTGGCTCATGCTTCCACCCCTTGCTATCTCTGATATAGAGGCAGCAAGTGGTGGAGGGAAAATGCAGATAGTCGACTCAACTACTCACATCTCTAGCTCCCACTATAAGAACAGATGTTATTCCCAGGTCTGTCACTGGACAAATCATTTCTATGTCTCGATATCCCTACCTGCAAAATTAAGATAATGCCCTGAGCAGATGTCTTCCCTGCTCTATTACAAAGGACACACACTGTGTAGAGTCCAAATCCCACCTCTTCTCAGGTTTTGTCTTTATTAACAAGTCTGTGTCAGTGTTACCAAAATCAGATATTCAAAAATCGTCAGTTTGGCTTAAAAATGCCGAGAGTAAAAAGTAATAATGCATTTTGGTTTTGTTTAATTCCCTTTTGGTCTTTGATCCTTTAGGTTGCTCTTGGGTCATGTTTTTCAAGCTTTTTTTCTTCAACCACAAGAATTAGAAACTTCCTCATTTTTAAAAGGGAAGCTGAGTTTCTCTGTAATCCAGAAGGTGGGGGAAGGGTTTCAATTAAAATACCAAATACTACTAGACTTTTAATAAAGTTATGGGAATTGCAACACTGTTGTGCACCATTATTAAACTCTGTTACGATTTTCAAACACAACCAGGGCCTGGTCTACACAAGGGCTGCGTCTAGACTGGCATGATTTTATGGAAATACTTTTAACGGAAAAGTTTTTCCGTTAAAAGTATTTCCACAAAAGCACATCTAGATTGGCACAGATGCTTTTGCGCAAAAAGTGCTTTTGCGCAAAAGCATCCGTGGCCAGTCTAGACGCAATTTTGCGCAAGAAAGCCCCAATCGCCATTTTAGCCATCGGGACTTTTTTGCACAAAACAGTTCTTCCCTGTCTACACTGGCCCTCTTGCGCAAGAATACTTGCGCAAGAGGGCTTTTTCCCGAGCGGGAGCGTGAAAGTATTTGCGCAAGAAGCACTGATTTTGTACATTACAAAGTCAGTGCTCTTGCGCAAATTCAAGAGGCCAGTGTAGACAGCTGGCAAGTTTTTGCACAAAAGCAGCCGCTTTTGCACAAAATTTTGCCAGTCTAGATGCACAAGGAGTGTAGGGTGAACGCATTAGGTCAATTTCTAAACAATGAGTCCACACAACCAAACCCATTCCATCAGCTTTAAGGGTTGTTAAAGTTAATTTTGGTATTCCTGCTTTCACATGGAATAATGATAAATTCAACCTTGCAGGGTTGACTTTCCAGTAATATAGATTTATGGCTATGAAAGTCGTTGTTCTTGGCCTCTGGAGGGTGTCCCACAGTGCCCTGATGTGACCACTATGGCCAGGACAAT